TCCTTATTAAAGACGCCCATTTTAGCAAAGAGGGAATGCGAAAGTGTTGGTGCTTCCCTTAGTTTGCTTCGTGCATCCTCAATTTTTTAAAAAAAGTTATCCTCCAAAACTACGCATTTATTATTTTTTGTCCGAGAATCAGAGAATCTGGTTTACAATGATCGCATATATGTACAAGTCGAAAATGCTACTGGCAAACAGTTTTTCTCGGAAAGAGTGTAAGATTAGATAATTATTAGAGTTGCGCTTCATTCTTTTGGGAACGCTGCTTTCGTCAAAACCCGAAAGGACGGAATGTGCCCGAAAAAAAGAGCAAAATCTGAAACAGTATTGTAGTTTTGAGCAGTCGAGTTTTATTGGAAGTTAGCTTGGATTCTCATCCAAAAACATTGACGGACCGAGGGGAGCGAGGGTAGATCGAAAGTAAACTACGTTGTTTATAAAAGTGCGCAACAGACTCCATGACACTTGCGAATATCAAAAATAATGTCATGAGTTAGTAAAAATTCAAATCAATCTTGCTGGAATTTTTCGTGACTGGTCGCCTGGACATTTTCCCAAAAAAAAAAATTTTGCTATAGGCACTTATTGCAAAACAATTCACTGCGGGATACCAAGTACCGCAATCAGCTAGTCAATATCTCCACTCGCAAGTACAGGTTTCCTGTTCGGATGAGGAGCATATTATTAGGTTGAACCGAAAGTTCGTTCGCACCATTTTCAAAAAATCGTAACTTCTTTGCCTCATAACGATTTTGCGCAATTTACATTTTATTAGAAAGAGTAAAGCATGTAGTTTCCAATAGTCCCCTGGCGACTTTCCAGCATGTTCAGATTGCAGAGATAAAAATGAAAGAACGAAAACATCCGAAATTCGGAATTTTTGAGAAGCAATTCCAAAAATCTAGAAACTGCGCGATAAAATCCAGGAAAGCCATTATCCTAATTTTTCTTATATTTGATTACAAACTGAGTTAAGTTTGTGCTGATCGAGCTCTTCTTTCAAAAGTTATGATTTTTTGAAAAAAATGCCGAAAAATCAATTTCTTAGGAATTCTTAGGGGTGTGATTTTTCGGATTTTTCTTTCAAAAAATCATAACTTTTGAAAGAAGAGCTCGATCAGCACAAACTTAACTCAATTAGTAGTCAAATATAGGAGAAATTAGGATAATGGCTTTTCTGGATTTTATCGCGCAGTTTCTAGATTTTTGGAATTGTTTCTCAAAAATTCCGAATTTCGGATGTTTTCGTTCTTTCATTTTTATCTCTACAATCTGAACATGCTGGAAAGTCCCCAGGGGTCCATTGGAAACCACATGCTTTACGCTTTCTAATAAAAACCTAAACTGCACAAAATCGTCGTGAAGGAAAGAAGTTATGATTTTTTGAAAATGGTGCGAACGAACTTTCGGTTCAACCTAATACAAGACGCAATAATAATAGTCCAAACATATTGTTCGATGATCATGCATGACATTCTATACAGCAGTACCACCAAGACATTTTGATTCTCGCTGATATCTATTGTGATCCAAAGCCACCGTTGCCTTACCAGAAGATTTATACGAAAATAATGTCCCAAAACGCTGATGTCAGCTCTGTTTACGCTATCTGACGCGATTTCTGAGAAAAGTTATCAACATTTTCATGGTGAAGCGGCTTTTTTGCAGACGGTCGGAGTGAGCATTGCAGGATTTTCCTGCCTTTTTGTCTTGAAAAATCGAAAGAATTATTAGTCACTATGTTTCGCCGTAACATGAAACAGGAAATTTGTTTAGCACTGACAATTTCTACTATCTACTATTACAAAAATTTCATTGGAAAAGCGTTCATAACTTCCTCCACAATATGGCTTAGCAGATGTCGAACATAAATCTGAAATCAGCGTTTCAAGACGATAGTTTTCATATACATATTATATGGAAAGGCCATGGTGACCTCAGGTCCCATCCCTTGTATGCTGTTATAGCTTACAGGGGAAGGATACTTGGATGCCGTAGCCATTCATAATGATTTGTATACCAAAAAATGCGCTTTTGAATGCTGGTTCGTAGACTGTCTTTCATATCTGCGAAACGATAATCTGAATGGAGTTATGATTTTTTTTCATTAAAAAAATTACGTTCCTGCGGAAGGTCAAAATCATCAATAAAAAAATTTTCTCTCCTTTCCAAATGCTGAGTATGATCCAGATAGTCTAAATAAATATTACTACGTCTAAAATATCCTTCAGTAGCATCAAACGGTAGGCTAGATCAAATCTGGTGATTTTTACTATCCAAAAGTAGGCTAAATTTTCAAGGAAAAAAGTCCATAACTTTCTTCAAAAGATCGTTTCGCAGATTTCGAGCACAGATTCAGAATCTGCATTCGAAGGCGCATTTTTTGGTGTACAAATCATTAGGAATGGCCGCGGCATCCAACTATCCTTCCCTTGTTAGACCTGACGAGGGAGATTCAATAGGGATTGTCCATACCTCTTAAATTTTGTATATTCCGCACATCAGTACAGAAACATTCGCAGAAGCTTGCGACAACTTCGTCAATAACTAGTTCCATTAAAAGGTGAAAATTGCTGTAGATTCAATTATTCACGCAGCTGCCTCAAACCATGGGTATTGCTCAATTCCAAATGCGAAAATTGTGCAATACAGTAGTAAAAAACTAACTATAGCTATTTCTCGTTCCAGATGCAAATGTGCAGCTCAGCAGTAAAACCTTTTTTTCTGCCAAGCAGCTTTGTGTTGCAATTTTACCGAGAATGACAGCTTTATGGATTTTCCTTTTTTTGGAACTCTTTCCTTATATTGAAGAAACCGTTTTGAGAAGAGTAGCAATCAAAGAGCAAACACCAAAGTTTCCAATTTCGCTTTTTATGAAGATATTCGATAGGGCTTTGTTGAAGCAAAGGAAAAACATGCCATTGGCTTTGAAGGTAAATTATGATGCAACTGCCTTTTGAAAGATGAAGTTGTCCAGAATTTTCAAAAAGTGGGCCTCTACCCACTCTCGAGAATGAGGCGCAAAATATTCAAAAGTGCTCTACCTGAGTTATAAACGAGTTTTGCTAACATATCCCCTTTTCAAGAATATTTACAAAACTAAGACTGTAGAGACATGCTTTTCTTGTGATAGCAAGAATATGTACATATACGCAGAAGATCTGACTACCTAGAACTTTGAGAGCGAACTCCTACACAACAGCATACCGCAAACAATAATTAATCAATCTCTCCAGCGAGAAAATCCATGAGAGCAACTAATATACACTGGTGCTCACTTCTTCTACTCTGTACGATTGGTGAGCATACACTCATTATATAGCGTGTGTATGCTAGAGAGGGCTTCTCCAAAGAGTGAATGAGACACGAATAAAATGGGATAAAAGTGCACGTCCGCCCTGGAGCATTTTATGCTCCTATGGGCCCGGCCAGACTTTGCTCAAAAGCGCCCAAATTTCTCTTAACTCTCTTCACTTTCTCTCATCTCTCCTCAGACGAGAAAGTAAAGAGGCATTAGAGAAATTTTGGCGCTTTTGAACGCTTTGGGCGCTTTTGAGTAAGTCTGGCCGGGGCCTAAGGCTGCAAAAATTAAGCAGCTGACTCTGCTAGACACTCCTTTTGTAAATTTGTGGCCTGAAAGGAATAAGCAAAAGTCAAAAGAAAATCGAAAGATTTTCGCGAGTAGCTCGTGTCTGGATATCGATGTGGCAGAAGACGTTGGCTCACAAAAAAAAAACAGGAAACAATAAGTGAGTCGAAAGAGTGCCGAGTATGGGATTCAACGCTAGAATAGCATCAAATGGCTGGAAATACTTAACTACTATCGGGCTTTGAAAGCACCTTGGCTTTTGAAAAAAATTGACAAGGAAAGGAAAGCAAGTGCACGCCCTCGTTTAGGCTTGCGTCGGCTGTAACCAATTACTTGCATCGACGATAGCATATCAAGCCACTTCGCTAGCGAAGGATGGCTGAGGAATGAAACGCACTTCATTTTGAGGAACATTGAAGATATGAATAATTTCCTCGAAAAGGCATTCACAAACGCTTGACATCATTTGCCAGTGCATTCGGAACCAAGCAAAAAAGCGCCCTTGCCATGCAGCATGCTAGGCAAAGATTTCATACACTCTTGCTATTTTACCATTTGATGTTGCCCTACTAATACTACAGCAGTCAAAATAAGCTTTGTTTCGTAAAATTAAGGTAAGTTGTGACAACATTTCACATCTTGACATCCTTCCGTATTTTATCTTTGCAAAAATCTAGTATCTTTAGAAAGTAATGCAAAATAACTTGCTGAAATCGCTTTTCCTTTTGTTTTGCTCTAATACTGATGCTTAATTGCAGCACATTCCAGGCAACGAAATTACGCTTCGGCATCTGCTTGTGCCAAAGCCTTGTGTAGTAAGTTTCAAGCCAGTTTAGGCGGAAATTGGACTGGCGGGAGTCCGCATCGCAACGATTCGCGCCACTTTGCAGTCTGCGTCTCATCATTCTCACCTATCTCGCTGAGCCAGTGGCGGTGTGGACGCGCTGCTCCACTTGTAATGTTTCGCCTACTCCGGGTTAAGACTGTAGAGTCTGTGTTAATCAAGTGCCCTTTTTCGTAAGACAATCGCCACACAAAGCTTCGCGCGACCTTCACGCGCATGTGGTTTGAGCATTCAAGTTAGCCTCATCGATTAGAGGTCTGCCAAGGCCCTCGCGTTGCGCATGTAGTTCCTAGGCGGAAGGAAATCGTAACTGACACCGACTGTAAGCGGTGGCTCGACTCCCGACTCAATTAGACGACCTCTTTAGTGCCACTGCACAAGTCCCATTTGATACACCTTCCCCTAAGACAAATTCCATAAGCAGTAGACTTGAGACTGACGCATCCAAATTTGCACTCCATCATTCACCGCATCGAAAAAGCGCCCAGAATCAATCAATCAATATATCGATTGATGCCATCCATGGTAATAAATTTCATCACAGCTGTTGTAGTCTTTTTGAGAGTGAGATGGAAGCTTTATTTCGTAGAAGATTATTGAGACAAAGACTCATTCAACAAATGAGATCTTTAATAACAAAACTTAGTGCGATCTCACACAAAGAAATTAACGTCAAATAGTTTCCCGCATATAAACTTGAGTTCCAACAATAACAAAGAGAGCCAAAAAAAGTTAACATATATTCGGCAACGTATTTTACAAATCATGCTTCACTTTCGATCTCATAATTCTTGAGAAAGACTCGTTTTGGTGGCAATTCAGTAACAAACTCATCCGGTTTTCGTTTGCCAGCGCCAAATGTGATGATAGCGATATATCCCTAAAAACGTTCGAATCTGGTAGTTTTTTTCAGTTTTTTGTTCTGTGACTTACCTGATTCTCAGGAGCAGTACGTACCAAGTCTGGATTTGTTGCCAACCGATCATTTACCTACATGAATGTGTGGAATTGAAATCCACTCTTGCTAAAAATTCCTTACTTCAGCTAGAACACCGCGAACTCCCGCCCGAATTATAATTTCTTTGCCATCCTTGCATCGTATAGTGCATAATCGAGTTTCTTTCTGCAAATGAAGGCCGCCCTGCAAAACGAAGAGAAGTTCCTGTATAACAATTTAATTTCATGGAGCATGCTGGCGATCTTATTTCCTCAGTAACTTTGCTCGCCCTTTCAGGCGGCATCAAAGGTCAGATCTTTGATTCAAAGAAAAACTATAAGGCTACTGCCGAGCGAAGGCTTAAAAGTAATATGATTTGAGCGGGCGTAAACGTGGGGCGCGCACATCTTCACCGTTAAGAACACTGTGCCACAAACTCTCTGCGGCAGATCCGCGTTTGCGCTCCGGAGTTTTGCGCTTCCTCCGGCAGTAGCTTATCAAAATCCCGAGCAAATATAAAATATATAAATTAGGCTTCGCACTCACCTTTTTTCCTTTCCCTACGACAACATGATCTGCTCTTGATAACCCGTTTTTCTTGGTATTTCCAAAGTCCACTTCTGTGACTTCGCTTTCCAAATGCTGGAAAAGAAGACCGAGATACCCAAGAAATGATTTCGGATGAAATTAAATTACATACTTCGCGAAGAACCACTACGCAGACACCGCTAGGATGGTGCAGATAGGCTATGTTATCGTAATCCTCGCAAGCAAAGCGCTTATAAGCACGATCCACACTGGACAGATATGAGATCGACATCTATACTATGAGCTGATCATAACGTCGCTTTGATCATTTATCACAGATATAAGGCGGCTTCCAATCTTTCAATTGCAAAAAAAGCAATGACATGATTTATTGCATGTGATAAAGGCACTAATTTCTCTCACAAAAATTTGCAAAACATCTTATATAAGCTCTTCAGGGTTGTGATGTTCTGTGGAACTGGGTTATAAAAAGAGGAGGGTAGCCAAAGTAATGCCCCTGCAAGAATTTGCTAAAGACTAGACAATATAGCACAACAAGTATGCAGTGAATCGAAAAAAAAATGAGAATCTTCACATAATAATCCTATCACTATGAATCTGTTATTACATCAGGGTGCACGAATTAGCAGCCGTAGAGATATCGTCAACTTTAGGTAGTCCAGTAGTGTCATCGACAGCCCATCCTGAAAAATCACATTATTTACACACTCCCGAACCTGAAGGTACGCTATACCAGGAGGCAGATCCCCTGTCAGCTCTTTTGGAGGATATCCGTATGTTTGCAGTTCTACTAACAACTTTCCAAGGGCCTCAAAATTGGACAAGTCAGGTGTGGAATTCGAGTCCATTCTCTATAAAAAAAACATCTGATTAACTCATGAACAAAACATAGCTATGATTAACCATATTCGGTATATCATCATTTGCTGTACTCGAAGCTGGTGCCGGCTCGTCCGGTTGATTCTCAAATTCGTGGCAGATCTTGCCAAGTATCTGAAATATGTGAATGACGAAGAGCCAAGACTGAAAACTCAAACAGATACTCAAGTCAAAGCTGAAAAGAAGTTGCCCTTTGATTCAACTGGCTTGGAGGCTGGAAGGTGGGGCTTCGTGACCTCATTATACCTAGATGATGATCAGAGTATGCGCGCAAAGAGACGCACACTGCGTCGCGGGCGCGATCGCCCTTAATTAGTTCACAAAGCCGCGCCTTCCAGCCGCCAAGCAGGCTGAATCAAAGGTTAGATTGCATGCCATCATGCAAGTTATTTTCCTGCAAAATCAATACTCAAATCCGCACAGAAAACAATCTGAATTTCCGAAGAGAAATGTGTTAAAAATTCAAAGAAAGAATTAACTACATAAAACAAAGAATAAATAATAATCAATCTGCTACTAAAAATTGCTTTACCTACCTCATACTGTTTTTCATATCGTTGCCTGGTGTCGCTGTCTAGAGATGACCCATGCTCTTTGAAGTAAGCCGGATAGTTGTCGTGGATCTCTTTTAATGGTGGATACATGACAGCTTTTGATGCAAGAGTCTAAAACCGATAGAAAATATTGCAGAAAAAAAAGAAAGACGAAACGTAAATCAATGATCAACAGAGAAAGCATCATTACCAAGTTATCTGTACAAAAACGCTCAATCTAAAAGCAAACCTGGAGTATCATGGCCATAAATGGCTCCATTGGAGATCCCGGAGCTTTCAGCATATCAAGGCCAGCAACAAAATCGTCTGGATTGGAGGCATTCGCGATCTGGAACACAATATGCTGATAAGTATATTACACAAAATTTTCTTCCACCATTGTTTAGCACACATAAATCGCAAAATACTGAAGAAGAAAGTCCTTCCTGGTATAACCTGAGACATTATATATTCCAGTAGAAAAGTGAACGGTGATAAAAAAGTGTTGACCAGATGAAGAGAAAAAATATAGCAAGTTGAAAATAAGTTATGTACAGCACCTTCCCACTGCTTTCCATCAACGCTTTCATTGCTTCAATCATCTCTTTCACTTCCTTGTCATTTTCAACCGCTTGCTGGCCAGAGCTCTCAGCCTGTCGCAGTGCCTCCTATAGAATACAAAATACACACTTGAATTATGAAAAAAAATCGACTCAAGAGTCAGCACCTCTTGAACTTTTACCATTTGCTGCAACATGGCTTGAAACTCTCCAGCTGCTTTCTGTGCAGCCGCCTGATCTTGTTCAGCCATAATTTCATCAAGCTCATCATCTGTAGTTCGTGGACGACTGAAATAGTAAGAGATTGGAAACGCACATCCTCTTCCAATGCTAAGGATAAATTTCCATGGCAGAGTAGAGAAGGAAATGACTGAGAATATGGGCACAACTTTTCTATTGCAATGATACAAGGAAAGCGGCTTTACATTCTTTGGAAAGTAAAGCAAAAGCAAATCATTTTAGAGTAATTCATCAAAGCAATTTTGTCGAATGCGCATTAAGCGTGTAGAGGCTGCAAAGTATTGACTTTGACGTTTCAGGCAGCACAATGCGCCATAAGTCCAGTGTAAAGATTGATTAACTTTACATTCAGTAATTGCAAAGCCATAAGAAAGTTAAACTTGAATACATATGCTGATAGGTAAAAAAAAGATATTACGAACTCTGTGAATCCCTTCAAGGCATCATCAAGCAGCTCACTAAGTCCTTCAACATTCTTCACATCCTTTTTCGAAGATCCTTCATCCTTGTTAGACATCTGTAAGTAGTCAAAAATTGCGCGAAAACAGGTACGACTGAAAAATTGACGTCTTTATTAGCAAAAGCCTGGGCTGTAAAAACTTAAGATAGAGGATTAATATGAGAGAAATGCCTGGAAACAGATGTTGACTCTGCCATATAAAGGGCTAAATATCCGCTCCAAGGAGAAAACAGCAAATGAATGCATAATGAGCGCAAAGTACATGGCCAATGCCGTAACTAGTCCAATTGTGGTCACTATCAGAAAAAGAATTAGTCGCGATCAATACGCACTTCCTGGAAGGCGGGCCCTCGCCACTTGGTTGATACGAGCGCGACACGAGGTTGATAGCGAGAACCATGTTTTCAGCAGTCACTCGCCCCTTAAGTAAACACAATAGACAGCATTCAGATCGACGCGAGCAAAGAAAGCGTGCTAAGCCCCTCTGCAATTCATAGAGTTGCTTCTTATGCCCTCGAGAAAAACTCGAGAAACTAGATTCGGTTGATGCCTTCAAAGCCAAGAAACAAAACGCGAAAAATGCGTATTGATCTGGTGACGATCTACTTTGATTAATCATGGTGAATCAAACATAGATAACAGTTTGTAGTATGATTTTTCGGCGATCTAGCATACAAAACCTGATGTGTGTGCACGCTCTAATCCTTTGAAAACTGTGAACCTATGATAATCCAAACACCTCTATTTCAAAACACAGAAAATCATGTTCACCATACAAATTTGAAAAGGAGCACAAGCTTACAATATCAAACAACTATCTTGAGAAGATGAGCAACAAGTCATCTGCGCATCTCATGAAGACTTCTGGGTAGCCTGCGCACTGACTGTGACAAGCGGAATAGAACTGAATTGTATAATAAACTATGTATCAATATCTAATGAAAAACATCAATATGTTGAAAAATGATTATGTTAATTGATAACACGTTCCGTAAATAAACAGAACAAGAGAATTATACTGATGCAAATATGGTAAAAGTAAACAGAATGTGCAAACTCAACAAGTAGAAATAACCATAAACAAGGTACTACTGAATCATATTCATCAAAACAGCTTCAACAACAGATAAAATAACAATTTACATTTAACAAAGATGAAAATTAGGTAAGCTATGCCTAGAAGAACAAAAAACAAAGATAGCTAGACTATGTATAAAACAACAAAAACAATAAAATGTGGACTAAACTATACCCCAGATTTCTTCTAAACCGCTCGTAACTTTCGCACACGTTAGCGCTGCGCTGAGAGGATAATTACTGATTTTTACGTCGCGATCGGTGTAGTCGGTTACTATCTGAAAATGTCGATGAACAAACAAAATGTTCAGATGATGAGTTTATGACCAACCTTTCCTCGAGCAATACCACCTATCACGACTACAAGAGGAGCTTCATCCTTCGGTGATACAAGTTTGTTTGGTACAACAAGTTCTTCAGTATTGAACGTCATTAAAATTTTTCGACTTCCTACAGGCAGGTAATTGGAGACAGGGTTTTTGATCACCTGAAAGACAAAAATGAACTATGAAATGAATTTTCTCTTTGAGCTCAATCATGCGAAACTAACGAATGCGACGCACTCTCAGTGTTTTCATTATAAAGTTGAGGGCAGTGCTCACACGAATCCGATCAAATGGTTTTCGGAAACGAGGTGGACCTAACCAAGACATTCTATACGGCAGAAGACGATACTGACCAGTCATGCCCTATATATGGTGCGAGTAAGAATTTGAAGATGAATTCCTCAGCCTATACCATAGCCGTATGGGAAAGCCATGTGTTAAAATTTGCCCGGACAATGCGCTTGAGCTATATCACTTGCGTAACAAAGAAAGTATGAAAGAAGTGGACACCACCATGCATCCCACTGGACCATAGTGAATCTGCAGCATCATCGCTGCTCCAAAGTTTTCGGGACCGGCCATACTACTCCAGGAGGTCATTCCCGCGATTCCTGTAACTCCTGCAATTCCCGTGATTCCCTGCCTTCCGACGTGCCGCACTACGGAGCGCTTTGCTAATTTCAGTACAAATTGTTAACATACATTGTTACAAGGTCCCAGGAATCACAGGAATAGCAGGAATTGCAGGAATCACAGGAATCATAGGAATAGTATTGCCGCTCCCTTCCCAGTCCACAAAGACTTCTCAGAGAACCAACGGAAAAATATCTCAAAACTTACCGTCAGCAATTTCTGAGAGCTGTCTGCAGCACGTACAACCAATTTATGTAGAAGTTGGACTAAAATAAAACTTGAATAAAGCACTCCGGAGAAGTAGTTTGGAAAATGATGACATATCATGCTTTCGAGGGAGCGAAACATGCAATAAGCGAAATACAATCAAAGAAAACAAACAATTTTGTGATAGAGCAGCGAGTATCGCTGAGCCTAATAAAAAATCAAATATAAACAAAAAAGCAAAATAATGATACTAATATGAGAGGTGAAGACTTACCCATTAAACCACAGAACCGATCGAATGTTCTTGGAATGCGACACTGTGGACTCACTTGCACAAGAACGTTTTTGTTGGTACGGAAGAAGATCTGTAGCTGACCGGCTCGATTAAGTGGACTGTCCAGTAAATTCAACAAACACTGAAAATGTGTTCTACCATTGTACAAAGACCCGCAGTTTGCCGAGTCTGAAAAAGAAACCTACTTGGTGCAATATATCAGGACGGTAGTCTGCTGGATCCTTTTTATTCTTACGTAGAAAGTTAGCATGCTTGTCACTACACAAGATTACATAGTCCTTTCCTATCTCAAACAGTATATGATACACCAGCGAAAAGAAAATGCATGCGTAATGGCTTTCTCTAACCTTAGCAGTTTCAAGGCTACACCCTTCCAGCACTACGTAGAGGACTCTCTTCTGTTCTATGGATTCATCAGTTTTCATTCGCTTTGCTCCAGGAGGGGCGACAGTATCGTATTCATTGGACATTACCTGCAAAACAAGATGAAAATAAACGATTCTTGAATCTCATGGAGATAAAGATAAAGAGAAGGTCTCGGCTACTTATTTGCACACAATAAGCTTGGATATTTGCCTTCCATTCTGATTCACTTTGCGACGCGCAATCACTATAATCTTGAAAACTATTTCCAGAAACCATTATCCGTCGGAATCCGGCGCTGACCTTAGCTACAGTATATAGCTAACGCGACCCGGCTGCTTCTTACTTTTTCATTGATCTTACTTAACAGATCATAAAGTGGTCCTACATTTGATATGATGTGTTGTTTATCCTCTGGGTCGTATATATAACTAATCATTTCGCTATCCGTATTCAAGTAATAAATGGGGACCTAAGTTTGCTAACAACTGATGTTGATGGATGATGTAGAAGTATCATTTACGAAATCTTTTTGTTGTTAAGGATTTCTAAACAAGACTGTCATTGGTAAGGATGACTTCATCTCCCTGAACCATGTGCACGTTCTGGGAAGCAGAGGTTCCTCACTTCATCAAATAAAACCCTTTTATATTTTAGCGAAAAGTTATTGAAATAGCTAGATAATGATAAATTCCATGAGATATCCTAGAGAAACATCAGTTTCTTAGTATTTGCACGTTATGGCATATTAGGAGAGTATCCAAGATGAGAAGAATTTTCAGTGCCGTGGCAAGATCAGAGAGTAAACAAGACAAATGATAGTTTCAGGATGACCTAATGATGTGTAAGTAAGGTTTATATGTAACTAGTTGGCTTTCCCGGTCCAGCCCGGGCCATGGTTCACTGCACTGCGAGCCACCCCCCGCCCTATATGGTATGGATGACTTACCCTGGGACATCCGCTTGGAAACCGCATCCTCGTGATCCTGAGGTGAAAATGAGCTTCACCGCCCTCCTTTACATGAGTATGGAAAATGCTTGATTGAACATGAATAACCCTTCAATTCCTTAGGAAAATGTAAACAAATCAGTAAATCGATAGAAGGACGCAACAAATCGCCGCAAAAAGTAGCCTATCATCTGCGCAAGGGTCAAAAACATATGTGTGCAAAGTTTCAGCTGAATCGGTTGAGTGGCGCGCGTTTCTATAACGCACATACCCTCCAAGCTGACAATTTTTGAGTTTTATATATATAGATAAGTAAAGATTCATAGACATGAAAGATAAGAGGCAGCTGGGTCGCCTTTTATGGTCGCGTTAGCTATATATTGTAGCTAAGGTCGCGCCGGATTCCGACGGATAATGATTTCTACAATTTCCTGCTTAGTGGGCAAAACTTCATTAGTTTTCCGGTATAATTCCGTATCGCAACGCAAGAATACAACCAACAGGGAAATATGGAAGCAAACATTTATGGAAGCTGGCAAGCACGCCAAAGTACCAAGGCATAGTTATTTTGCTCTAATGCATTTCAACGCCGGCACGCGAATGACTATGGAGCACGACAGCTGGAAAACAAAGCAGTGAGAGGCACCCGCCATACTCAGACACTTTTTCCGACGGCCCGCGCGCTTTCATGAGCCTACCGTGCGAGCGGCGCGCCTAGATTTGTGGGCGTGGCATCGTTTCCGACGGGCGGCGCGCGGGTGGAGGACTATATGTCGCCGAAAAAGGGCGGTTCTTGCGGTCATTTGCGACAAATACGCACTCTTATAGATGCGCGGACACGCGTTCCTGCAGGGAATCCGCGCAGGACTCTTCCAAATCCGGCGACATATAGTCCTCCACCCGCGGCGCGCCATCGAAACCTGCCGTGCGAGCGGCGCGGGTGTAGTCCGGAAGGCGACAAAACCCAGTTGGAGCGAGCGCATAGAGGCCACGCCCCTCATGGGCGCCTGCGACACTGAGCGCGAGGTCAATCAGGCCAGGGACTGACGCTCTTTCGGCACATGCGCTGGCGCACTAATGGTAGCAGCATTCTTCGGAGTTCCTATTGATTTACTTTTTGCCTAGAGTTAAAGTACTGGTCAAATATGAGCTAAGCAGTGTACGAAGTAAATGGTCACTTGAAACCTGTTTATCTCGTTGATACTTTTCCATAAGTCTGGTAGTGCAACTTTTGGTTTCTCAATTCAAGATTAAAAAGATTAAGCATTACAAACCTAGGAAACACGTTATTACAGCCTTGGAACAAATGAGAGAACCTAATCGAAATTCACCACCAAAAGACGGATTATAAGCGAATCAGTTTCTGCGAAAGCGCGTTATTTTGATCTAGGAGTGCAGTCTTCCGCGATCCTCATTCTTTTGGTTCACGAAAGTCGATTTGTCACATTCAGATTCATAGATCATGCAACGCAACAACTGAGCTTGTCATGAACCGTAATCAGGACATGACAAAGGAGAGTGTGGTATTGTTCAAACAGACAAGATAAATCAAAACGAGCATACTGTTGCAAATCGGCTCCCTTTCGGTGTAAGTACAAATTCTTTTTGCCGGAAATCTAAGATTGTCTAATTACTCAACCCGTTTAGCAAACTCTCATTCTGTCCATAATCAATTCTATGACCTTTCGTGCTTTTCTGCGCTGTTCTGTCCTACAGTTCAAACGGTAGTCCTTTATTCTGAACAAAAAAGGCAGCGATGCTAACAATCAGAAAAAAGAGTGATTATTATATCACTATCACATTACAGTGTATTGCAAGCGACAGCTTAAATAAAAAATTTGACGTGCTCGAACTGTCTCAACATCGAGATCCCACCGCAGAATGCGTCCTTGCTCAAAGTGCTCAAAATCTTCTTCTATGTTCAGCCTGAAGAAAAGTCGTATTGTAAAGAAGATGCAAAAGAATGATAGCTCACCTTTACTTGACATAACTTTTACAGTACCGTTGCTGAGTGATATTCTACTCACATTCTATCCGTTCGACATCATCAACTTGGACGAGTTCTGCAAAGAACTAACTAACATATAAAAATATGGTATAACTAAATACCTAACTTATGAAAAAATACAAAAGTATCACATTACTCAAGAACGTAGATATTTACTAACCACCTTACTAGGATGATGCTTTATTGCACTATACATATTGTTGCAGCCTGAAACAAAATTTTTTACAGAAGGCAGTTTTGAAGAGCTTATGCTTACAGATAGGCAAATACAAAAGAAAGCAAATCACCACATTACCACAATGAGCAATAATATACATACACGAAACAAAAACATGTTCAAAAAATTCACATGAGAAGAAACGACGGTCAGAGATTGAGAGCGCCATGCGTAATGTGTATGAACGCGCCCCAATCCAAATACTCAGACACTCGCGGTTGACGACCGCCGGTGAAAGGGAGTTCGACTCATTGACAACCTGCGGTACACATCCTTTTGTTTCGGGATAATCCGGCTATTGGTTCGGGACAAGACTGCCGGAGAAACGCCGGTCGAACAGGTTTCACCTGCGTTTGGTTCGGGATTCACCTGCAGCACATGTTCGGGTCGAACGCAGGTGAAACGGCGGTGAAATGCAGGAGTCCCGAACCGACCATGGGGCGTGGAATTAGCCGTAGAGCGCACTTGATATTGTTCAAATTTCTCGCATACATTGTATACTATGTAAACAACAGAGACTGAATCAACAGAGATTTATTCATCTTAGGTTAACTCAACGACAAAACCATAACAAATGATAAGAAAACTCGTAACAACAGAATCGCAGCAGCAAAATTATACATTCCTGAGCAAAAAGAGAAAAATCTAGTGTCAAGAACAGAATCGCAACAAGAAAATCATTCATAACATAAGGAATGCATTGAATTTCCATTCAATGAGTGAACACAACAGCGAGAATAAGCGATTGCTATGGACTGAACAGCATGATATAAGTAGATAAAAGCAAGTTTTGTTACATTGTTTGTGACATGGATGATTGTGAGGCAACTTCATACTCTCAACAACAAAATCACGACAAGAAAATTACACATTCCTGAGCACAAGGTAGCATTCGATAAAGTAAAAAAAGACTAAAAGAAATGGCTAGAGTTTAGTGAAGAGATCTCTCTGTTATTCAAAGGTAAAAAAGGTATATACTTCACTTGAAAAGGGAAAAAATTTAAGCACCAGCACTTTCAACCATACTGGAAACAGTTGAGACAGCTGCGATGGCATTACCCAGAGAGGAAAGAATAGCGATAGCCGATAGGGATAACGCATAACGATAGATTTAGCGATAGCAACAGCGCTAGCGCATTAAACTATTTTCTTCTTTGACACAAGTTCTTCCCCAAATCAGCTCAATATCTAAACTTGCACTGAATATGATATCTTCTGTCATTTCTGTGGTAAAAATTACCTTGTGTGAATTCTGCAGGCGATAAAAGCCATTCACCGCCAAATAATCCGAGTGCTACAAGCACGAAATCTGAGATTTGAGTTCAACTCCTTTAACTGGTCTTAAGAAAACTTGCCTATGAAATAGGTGACTAGTGACTCAGGAAGGTCCTTCAGCCTTTTATCCTCTTCGTTTTTACCAGATTTTCTCGAATGGCGCGGCTGGGATCGCATGCCTAATCACATGTACCTGTCGGACAAGGCTGTACAGGGTAGTGCCTACGTTTTAAAAAGTGGGGAAGAAATCCAATACATGGATATAGTAGTCGTGCTTAACCGAAGTCATGTTTGTCTCCTGAGATAAGCTGATCCTGGCCCAATGTCACGCTTGCTACGCTGCATTACCTTGAAGGGAGGCTGTCCTTTGCTGTTCCAAATTCGCGAAACTAAAACTTAAACTCTAAAGAAAATTTCACGAAAGAATAATACTTCTGTGCTTATTGTAAGCAAAATCTTTATTTCATGGCGTTCGAAATGCTCATTACTCTCAAGACGTTTCCGTTTATCAAAATCATAGGTTTCGGCAAGAATGCGAGAGTCCCCCCATTTCTATATTACACCAGAAAAAGATTTCTTCGCTGGGGAAAAACTCTTACATTATGCAACTGGCCGTGTATCTCAGTGACTCGATCTATGGTATTCGACAATAGTAATCTAGCTGTGGTAGTAGCCTTACAAGATGAAGCGAAGCTCTTTTGGCGAAATTATTCCTTTTCCATGCAACTCTGCAGCACAAATGAAGAAGACATTCATGCAAACAGTTGGTACGCACCCCCTGAGAGGACAGCCAGACTGATCGCATATGGCCAATCTGTGACCAAAAGGTGTGCAGCAATGATTGCAGAAAAAGCAGTGCTTGTACGTAAACGTGTACTAAAAGGCAGCAGGATTCTAACCATTATTTCCGAGTCAATCCGGCGCGCCCTCCTTCTGAGCATGTTTGCCTTGATTCCACATGATGAGCAGCTCATCTAGGTATAACCCCATCACATCAGTCACACCAAACTACGCAGAAAAATAGACTTATTTTTGGAATTATGGTACTTTGCTCTCTGCACTTGTTTTTCTTAATCTCTCACTCTGCTCATGACTACGCCCATCTGTAAATCGACGTTGAGTATGTGGAAGCATTAAACGATTGTTTGGGCTTATTGATAATCTGGAAATCACATTCGTCTATTCTCGCACTACGCTTGTCATACTGCGTACCATTGAGTCGGACGAGTGCGGAAGGGTGTTCGGTTTTCTTGCAGGCTTGTGATCTGTTAGAGGTTGAAAGACGCGGTATTTTGTGAACCAACAATCCCAAGCAATTCGTATGAATACTGAAAATATGGAGAGCCTACAAGGCCTGCAATGCCATAGTCAATTGTGGGGAGAAATTTGAAAACTACCCCAGTTCGATTAGCAGTTTTTAGGCCGTGCTTCAAGCTTCGCAAAAACCGTAAAAATCTCTGAAGGAGACTTACTGAAAGAATAACTGCTCGAGCATGACTCGTGATAGAGTTCTTGGCGTAGACAAGACACCCGGGAGCAGTATATTTTTATGCGAATTACTTTCATAATCTGAGAGGTTTTCTATTCTGACATATAGTGGGCCACGCTTCTGATTTAAAAAATTTTTTGGATCAGACAAGAAGATAATGTCGAAAATACGCTAACTTGCTAAGCCTCATAAAGACAACACCATCTGTGCTTATTGTAAGCAAAATCTTTATTTCACAGCGCTCGAACTGCTCGTTACTTCCAAGACGTTTCCGTCATAGATTTCGCCAAGAATGCGAAAGTTTCCCACCCCATTCCTGAATCACACCAAAAAAGATCCCTCACTGGGAAGAAAACTCTTACATTCGTACGCTACCGGCTATGCATCTCAATGATACATACGATCTACGAAACTCGACAATACTAGTCGTAGCTGTGGTAGCAACCGTTCATGATGAAGTGACGCTCTTTTGGTCAAACTGCTTCTTTTCGATGCAACCCTTCAACATAAATGGAGGACATTCATGCAGAAAGTTGATATAAACCCCTTAAGCCGACAACCGGATTGATCGCAGATGGCCAATCTGTGACCAAGAGGTGTGCAGCCATTATTACAGAAAAATAGTGCTTGTACTCACACGGTTCCATGAGTTTCGTCTTGAGGCCCCCCGCATCATACGTAAATGTGGACTAACAGTGCAGCGGGACTGTAATCATCATTCCCAAAGTGAGTCTGATACGCCCACATGTTTGCCTTGATTCCACATGATGAGCAGGTCATCTAGTATGACTCCATCACATCAGTCACACCAAAATGCGGAAAAAATTTAGCCATATAGGAGCCTCCTTCTTGTTATCATCACATGAATACGTTACTCCTTGAGATAGAAGAGGCCTGGAATCCAGGCTACGTACATCATCTGCATGGCTTTGCAGATCGTGCACAAGCGTAATGTGCCCCTAGCATGAGGTGTACTCGGTCCCTCAGTATCTGCTCTGGCTGCACCATTGCCATCTTCAAGCCGATATGGTTTCGCAGGAGGACAATTAAACCCATCTAATTGCTCATCATACTAATTTTGATCATGCGCCTAAGTACTCTCCTGCTTCCCGCCTACTGTGGGTGTAACGCCTCATCGCTAGCTGTAACTGACTCAGGCGCAGGTAGGACACTGGTACTGCCATCAGATACGCCACTGAGTGGTCCTGCCTCACTCTCGGAAAGCAAAGCGCCGCGAATACCCGACGCACACGGATTATTTGGCGGTGAATTGCTTTTATCGCCATGGTACATGTGATCAGGCATGCGATCCCAGCCGCGCCATTCGAGACTATGCTTGTCGACTATCTGGTAAGAACGAAAAGGATAAAGGGCTGAAGGACCTTACTGAGTCACTAGTCACCTATTTCATAGGCACGTTTTCTAGAGACCAGTTGAAGGAGTTGAATTCAAATCTCAGATTTCGTGCTTGTAGCACTCGGATTATTTGGCGGTGAATGGCTTTTATCGCCTGCAGAATTCACACAAGGTAATTTTTACCACAGAAATGACAGAAGATATCATATTCAGTGCAAGTTTAGATATTGAGCTGATTTGGGGAAGAACTTGTGTCAAAGAAGAAAATAGTTTAATGCGCTATCAAAACCGCGAGCAGACTGCCCAATACATGCGCAATACCCCTTTGCAAATCTTTGTAGAGGCCGCAATCATTTCGAGAGTGAAAGAGCTTTTGTATTGCTATCGAAGAGAGTCGGCATGTCGCTACTCAAATACTAAAGGCCATCAAAATCCATGTCAAAAAGAGTGATTTTGATTCAGCATATGGAACAGAAACCAAGTTTCAGAAGTACAACAGTTAACAAAGAAGTACGACAAAGAAAATGACGTGCTTCAAAAATCAGTAAGCCATAAGCAAGGCTGGCTGTATTACCATCATGAGCTGCCACACATATATATCGCTGCGTTATTCCAGCTCTGATGCAAAGAGAATTGCTAGGACTAGCTTGAAACCCTTTCAATACTCACGGCTTAGTTATTCCTGTGTTTTGTCCAGTTTGAACAGCGTAATGCAACGGAGTATAACCATCTTTATCGGTTGCATTCACATCTTTTCGCCAATCTCCAGTATTGTCCCTAAGCAAGATATACTCATTTACAGTCATGAAAATAGCACGAGTAAAGAACAGGAAAACTCACTGAGAAGCTCAGTTTGGGAAGCCATAGCTGCGTAGTGTCTCCCACATGAGTCGCATACTTTGAGATTTGCTCAAAGTATCTCTCAGGTCTCTACAGCCCGATTGAAATGCAGCAGAAGGGGGAACCAGCTGAAAACAGATAGGTGTCAACCAGAGAAGTAATCACAGAAATTATCTATGATAAGGGAGTATGGCGAGACAAGTTAAAAAAAGAACAGTGCAGAAAGGTTTGCAAAATACCAGTGATAACTGATAGTGATAACTACCTAAATGTAGTGCAATGGTTCTCCTCCTTTCAGGCATCAATCGAATACCTTGTTTTTGTAGGCAAACAGTAACGAATCCTTCCCAATCTGCGACATTCCCACTACATCAAGCTTCGCGTTGTTGAACATAGAAACGTCAAGAGTTTCCGTCGGATTCAATATCTCAAAACAGCTATCGAATGCGAAGCGATCCAAATGAACGATCTTCAAACAGCACAATAAGACCAGACTTACCTTTCTGTCTTCATACTTCACCCAGCTGAATTCGTACTTGTCGTTACTCTAGTAGCCTGTACACCAACACAAAGCTGAGGAAAATCGGTGCGTGCGTTGATCAACTGAAATAGTTGCTAATTACTGACTGTTTGTGCCATACATACACTAACCTCAAAAGGACTTAGCGGAAATCGTAAGGAACTGTCAAGTTCAGATGACCTCACGAGCAAGAATTTGTTCAGAGGTTCATACCTGAAAAGAAAGTTTCCAAATATTGAATCGAAGGCGAGAAAAACTGAGTGGGAGATGAAAGAAAGGAGATGAAGCCGGAAAAAATAAGCAATTTTGCCATACCGAGTTGAGGTTTAGTTATTGCTTCGTTAATAAACATGTAAATATACTGTCACATGAATTTCAATATGAAGCATATGATTATGATTTGATGATCTTAAACGTAAGAAGAAAAAAAATCCCTAATCAAAAGAGCGCCAAACCATCCAGCAACAAAAACTTCAAGAAAATGATAAGAATTTTGCGCTAACTAAAAAGGAAACCAGCAACGTGCACATATGAAGGGAGATGCAGTTCTGAATCACTTAACTCTTTAATCCAACTTGTGCAGATTTAGAAGAAAAGAGAAAAACGCACCATTGAAACAACAAAACTGAAGAAGGAGTGCAACAACAGAGAAATACAGATCCTGCCTGTGGGCCTGTGCCCCGTGAAGTCGTGCACTGCATGGCACCTCTGAAAAATTCAATGTTGATGCATAGTATATAAAAAAAAACATACTTGGTCTCTGGCAGTCTGACCGTTATCGCAAGTTTTTAGGGAATGTATCTTTCGGGTACTTTATTGATTGGCTTGCTGATACGCAAAGTGAGATTCTTCTGAGAAAGTGCCACCAAATCATGTCTAGAACACATATAACGTAAACAACATCTCCTTAGTTCCCAACCAGTGATAGCTGAGACGTTGAAATGCATTGAGTCTCAAACCTGTACAGATAGGAGGACCAGGAGCATGCTGCTGCTGCTGTTGATGCAGCAGCAGCAGCATGGACCTGCTGCTGCTGCATCAACATTCTCTGTCGTTGCTCCATTTGCAGCTGAAAACAATCTTTCAGAAAGAGAAAGCTTCTTTAAGCTGCTGTTGAATGCAAATCTGCCAACTTAATCTCAAAACATGCTCCCAAAAAAGTTGAAACAACTTTGTTGTTTGCCATCAAAGCAAAGAGTCGCGAATATCGAGCTTTTGGAACGACTTGATATACAGTCACAGGAAAAAAACTAAATGCCGAATTGATAGAAACAACTGAGGTATCTTTTTTTTCGCTACCAAAAGATGATAACGTGCTACATGCAATACACTTCAAAATTCATCAGGCCAACCAAAGAAAAATAGAGGAAACCCACGAGAATATTCGTCTTTGACGTCATGCGAGGTTGAAGTAGCAGTGTCCGTTTCCGTCTTCGCAGGGGATGGTACCGACTTGGATGGTTGTGCATTAGAAGATGGATGTCCGACAGCAGTAGGTGCAGAATGCCACGGAGACGTTGACGACGACGGGTCTAGAGACGACGCGCCCAGCATCAACGCACATCAAGCGCCCTCGGATATCTAAGGTGATCTTCGTAAAGCTGTGAGTACAAAAGTGGATGACGCGGCCGCTGCCGCAATGAGGAGGAAACTGAACAGTCGACTAGATTACAAGAAAACGGTCAAGCAACAAAAACGATGGGAAATTTAGATAAGTATATGCTATAGCTGTACAAAGCAAAGCCCTTCAAAAAAGAACGAGAATTGGTGTGTTATCAACCTTCATAATGAGAGAAAATAACCTCTTTGATACGAAGATAACATTGTTCAAAATGCAGGCAAACAAGATACGGCGTAATATCACCAAATTCAGGAATGTTACATTTATTTTTTGAAAAAGACAAGTAAAAAGAACTCTATTTTAACTCTATTTACTTTACTCACTCTATTTTATAATTTGCAGAACTAAAACGCTCTTCTCAATAAAGACACCAATGTAGTGAATATCTTAAAAGATCGATGTAGATTTCGAAAAGAAAGCAAAACGAGGAACCGGGAGTTAACGAATTCAAGAGACAGGTGCTCGAGGTTATGACGATAGAAAAGGTATAAGATTAGATACCCTAAAGAAGGAAGTAAATTTGAACCCAAAAAGAATCCACCATACAAAACAAGACCCAAAACTTGGTATTCACTGAACAGATAAAAAAAATCAGCGAGTTGAAAAATCCCTGAAAATGCAAAAAGAAAGAGCATGGAACTTGAGGAAGAAACTCTATGACAAACAAAGAAAATTTGTATGCAAAAACCGTTCAGTCCAAGGAAAACAAGTACCAGACTTTGCGTTATGGGCGCTGAACATGCAGATACAGCAAACTCTGCCTTTAGCAATTCTTCTGAAAGTGTACAAACAAATCGTGTACAAACAAATCCCCCTTAACAACTGTCAACACTTGACGCGAAGAAGCAAAGCTCTTGTACTAAGAAGGATGACTGATCTGAGCTCAAACTTCAGAAGCAGAAGGTTGCAGTCCGAAATCCGATAATCTGAACTTGAAATCAAAGAAGACGCCGATGAACGCTGGGAATATACGAAGCTTTAGGAAACAGGCGGAACACTTGAACGTGTGCTTGAAGCCGGCTATCCTCGCTGCATGCAGGCGATCGATTGTATTGATACGCGTCGGGACAATCCCGACGCAATTGCCGGTGAATCGGGACAACCGCAGGACACAACTTTGTCCCGAAACAAAGCGAAAGTGGGCGGATCTCCGGCGGTCGTCAACCGCGAATGTCTGAGTATCCAGGGCATCCTAACCACCGGGAAACTCGGACAGGGCGTGGCCACGAGCTGCGCCTGTTCTAGGTCATTTGTCGCCTTCCGGACGTCCCCCGAGCGGCGCGCCTTGCCTTCGAGGGGCGGCGCGCCATCTTGAGTGACCGGCGAGCGGCGCGCTATCAACAAATATGTAAGAACAACGAACATGTAATAACTTGATAAGACGCGTAAGCATCATTTTGAATTCGTTGTTAGCCGTAGGAGGTTGCATTTGTTATCGCATCGTTGGTTGCTTGTCTGTTTTGCCGGCTAATCGTCTCCATTTTTTGTAAGTTTTTTCTCGTTCACATTTGTACAGTCATTGTCATCCATGTGCTCCCTATTCCGTGGCATCTTAGCGTCCGTGTTGCCTCCGCTATTCGGCTATCCGGGCCCCAAAATTTTTTGCCATGGATTTCGCTCAAACTTGGCCCAGAAGGGTTATCTGACGTGCTGATTACGAATGTCACCTTTTCTCCACTGGAAAACGCCTCCCTGCAGGAGGACCGGCCCGCCGCCCGTCACCGTCGGCTCAGTACGCGTCGCGGCTCAAAGGCGACCCGTGCACCCGTATACTCGTTTCATTAAGCATGAGAGGATTTTGCGCAACTGTCAAGTCTAACGAGTTAGCTATTCTCGGGACTTGATCCCTCTACCCTGTTGTATTGCATCTTAACAGAACAGTTCTTGACTAGATGATTTTATCATTATAGCATATATATATAAATGGGGGACATTAATGGGGAGGGGGCCACCGAGCACCCGGGGGGTGCCAGCTCATCTGGAGATTCTGGGCACCGCCCAGTTCGTGAGGACTGTCGGACCATCCAATTAGTCTGCGTCTCGACATGTCCATTCCATAGCAAAGCTCGTCCTCGAGCTTTCATCTTTGACCATGGCTCGGGAAGAGAAAAAAACCATGTAACTTTTGATCATCTCGGGTGCACGTTTGACCATTTGACCATCATCATCATCACCGTCATTTCGTCATCAACCATCATCATTGATCGATTTCTAGCTCATAGTCGTATCGTCATCGATTGAATTCTGCTCTGTTTGATGTCGCTGATTTTGCTGGTGTATTGATCATCATTGCTCGAGTATTGATCGTTGCTATACCATTCATCTCATCAAGAACCATGCATCTTTTCGCGGTTTGCTTTCATCGTGGGAGGGGGGAATTGAAGTCATCGTGGGGGAATCGAACTTCATCGTTGGGTTGCATTTGCTAGATTGCGTCTTCACGTTGCATAGAGGAGGAGCCGGTAAGAGACAAGGTAAACAGAAGGGCGAACGCCAGAAGGCGAAGCGCACGCTCCCGTACGTCCCGTCAATAAAGTAAAGCTCGTCCTCGAGCGGAAGACATATATACGTTGAAGCAGAATGGATTGTTGTTCAATATGGAATTGAATAAGAGGATGAATATCGTGAGGTATTTTGCAGGAGGGATGAAATCACACATAAAAAAATGGTATAAACATTACAACAAGAAGGAATTCAAAAGTAAAACATGAAATGTTGAACGAAAAGATAGAATACGTAATTCTATGTTTTCGCTACTGACAAATATCAACATAAATGCATCGGTGTTTCACAACATTTGGTTATCGAGCTCACAACTCGAGAGGAAACAATTTCCTAGCGTTGCTCACAAGGGCGTAAAGGGAAAAGTGAATGTTTAAAAGCGTTTTTCGACCCGCCAATCAAAAAATTCTTTCTTTTTATAGTGCGTATGCTTGCGGCAAACTTACTTCGTACCAGTAGCCGCTGCGTTAATGAATTTTGTGAGGTTGCTACTGGCACCTTTCGCTCATTACGAGGGAGTCCAATCCGTTGTTTGTCTCAGACGCTCTGAACGTCTGAGATTAGGCTCACTAGAACGTGGAGTCTCTGCCTCTGTGTGACTAGATTGTGGTTGCACAGAGACTTCACGCTCCTGCGGCCTGCTGTAATACAATTTGAGTCTGTTCACATGCACCGTTTGTGACTTATTGTTGAACAGACTTTTAATGGTGACATTGGGACGGCACATGGAGACAATCACAAATGGGCCTTTCCATTGAAGGGAAAATTTGGGACGCACGGTGTCGTCATGCAACAATACAAGATCCCCAATGGAAAGGTCCTTACTGTATACCTTCTTCTGGTAATCGTAACCAGCTTTGTAGTCAGCTGTTTTCGCTGCTATGCTGGATCCCACTTCCACAATCGTAGTCTGCAAGGCTGTCGCGAACTGGCCTGCGAAGTTATCTGTGGCAAAAGTAAGAGTAGAAGGTAATTTGTGAATAACGTCCATCCATGTGACCGGATGTCTACCGTGTATCACAAAGAACGGGCTGTACCCTGTCGTATCGTTTTTGCTACAGTTGTAGGCAAAAACGATGGGTTGAAGGAATTCCGTCCACAAGTCTCTGGCTTCTGAGCAGTAGACTGTGAGAGAATCCGCAAGAACTTTTACCATTCTTTCAACCTGGCCGTTCGCCTTGTGGTTGTAGCTTGTGGTAAAGTTGTTCTCAATTCCCAGAGTTTTGTTAACCTGAGTGAAAATGTCGCTCACATAGTTTGAGCCTCTATCGCTAACGATTTTGTTAGGGATCCCGTGCTTGGATACCACATCGTTAATGAGCGCTTTTACTATTAAATCAGCCGTCTGGTTCACTAAAGGCGTACAGATAATGTACTTACTGAAAGCGCAGACTGTGATAGCTATGAATCTGCTACCATCAATACATTGCGGCAATGGTCCTATTACATCAATGTGGATACGCTCAAAAGGACGCTGAGGAATGGGAAAAGTTCCCAGTTCCTCGCGAATGATATTTCCTGCCGGTGTTTTCACCTTTTGACAGGCTGCGCAAGATCTAACGTAATTTGCGATATCCTGATGCATGTTTGGCCAGTAGTACTTATCCGAGACCTTTATGTACGTTTTTCGAATTCCTAAGTGGGAACCTAGCAAAGGATTATCATGAAGAAGTTTTACGATCTGCTTTTGAAGTTCAGAGTCGGGTATAACAAGTTTTGGTCTTTCGTTGGCCTTATAGTACAATGCACCATTGAAAATGGAATATTTGTCTAACGAACTCAAAAACTGCTGTGGAGGGTTCTCAGCATTCCCTGTTAAGAAGGTGATCAAACTTCCAAAATAAGAATTTTGCTGGCTTTCCCCATGGTTTCTAAGCTAGGAATTGAGTCGGGAGCAGTAGAAATGTTCATTACTACCGGATAACGGCTCAAAAAGTCGCAAAAAGTGTTATGTTTACCCGGCCGATATTCAATTTTCAGATCGTAAGCTTGTATCATGATTTGGTATTTTGCTAAACGTCCAACAAGGTCTGATCTGTACAGTAGTGACTTTAACGGAGCATGATCAGTAATAAGTGTGATAGAGGCATTAGCAACATATGGGTAAAAATGTTTGAGCGCAAAGACTATGGCAAGCGCTTCAAGCTCTATGATTGAGTAATTTTGCTCATGCTTGTTCAGCGGGCGACTACAGTACGCAATTGGATGCTCATTTAGCGTTTGCGGGTTTTGCTGAAGTAAGCACGCTCCTAGACCTGTAGTCGAAGCATCCGTGTGGATAATGTACGGCTTGCCTATTATAGGAGATGCAAGAGTTGGAGCTGTAGTAAGCGCGCTTTTCAAAGAAACGAATGCATTTTCGTGAAGATGAGTCCATTGGAACGGAGCATTCTTTATGAGAAGAGCATTCAAAGGAGCGGCAACATACGAA